TCTCTCTCTCTCTCTCTCTCCATCCCTCGTCTCATTTGTCATCATGGCCTGATTATTTCATGCTCTCGGACTCTTTCCAGTCTGCTAACCTTCCTCGTGCTCCCGCTGTGCTGTGGAGTGGCTGAAGGCCGAATAAAGGCCGTTTCTTCCATGGCTGCGTCTCTCCTGCAACACGCCGCAGTTTAACCCACTTGTGAACTTTCCTCAAAGTACCGTGCACGAAAGACAGATCTGAAGAGGCTGTGAATCCTTGATCAACTCATCACACTGCAAACACAATCTTATTTTAGCCCCGCAAAAACCTAATGATCTAGATATGTTTTAAGAATACAACACTATGCAAGATCACGTTGTGTAAGACTATGATGATTGTTTTTAGATTATTAAAACAATGGTTGTTTTAAAGAGCGGCACGGTGGCTCAGTGGTGTCACACTGTGGCCTCACAGCAAGAAGGTCACTGGTTCAAGTCCCAGCTGGGTCATTTGGCGTTTCTGTGTGGAGTTTGCATGTTCTCCTCGTGTTGGCGTGGGTTTCCTCCACAGTCCAAACACTTGAATGAGTGTGTATGGGTGTTTACCAGTACTGGGTTGCGGCTGGTATGGCATCCTCTGCGTAAACATATGCCAGAGTAGTTGGTGGTTCATTCTGCTGTGGCGACCTCTGAAATAGGGACTAAGCCAAATGAAAATTAACAAATTAATTATTTTAGATTAAGATTCTTCTCTTAGGTGGTAAAGCTTAAAATAATTATTTCACATGCAAGCAGATTTAATAACATCTTAAAAATACAAGCTTAATTACATCAGAGGCAGACTTTATGACAAGCCTTGTATTTTTAAGACGTTGCTTGTTTTATGTTGGTCTATTAAAAATGGCTCACTAAACCCACTTATTCTATACTACAAAACTAATATACAATCTTATTAATAGACAAAAAACTTACTGATCTCATTTTAAGAGTAAGATACTATGCGAGATCAGTTTGTGTATGATTATTATTGTTTATTTATGTTTTTGGGCTTAGTGAAGCTTAAGGTGAGGTATTCTACATGCACATTTAGCTTCATTACAATCGGAGACATAGTGTAAGAGCAGCCTTGTGGTTTATCAAATTTATTTGTGCCATAATAAATTAACTTGTTAATTATTCACAGAATACACTGCGCTATGTTTTGTTGAATTAAGCTTCACTATTTTTTGCAAGTAATCATTTTGCATTGTAATAAAGTCTTAATTTGAACAAAAACATTGCGGGCAACAATCATTCATTCATACTTCGGCTTAGTCCGTTGTTAATCAGGGGTCTCCACAGCAGAATGAACCGACAACTATTTCAGCATATGTTTTTCATGGCAAATGCCCTTTCAGCTGCAACCCAGTACCGGGAAACATCGATAAACACTCATTCACACACACACTCATACACTACGGCCAGTGTAGTTGATCAGTTCCCCTATAGCGCATGTGTTTGGACTGTGGGGGAAACCGGAGCACCCGGAGGAAACCCACACCAACACGGGGAGAACATGCAAACTCCACACAGAAACACCAACTGACCCAGCCAAGACTCAAACCAGAGACCTTCTTGCTGTGAGGCCACAGTGTGACACCGCCGAGCCACCATGACGCCCTTGTTGGCTGTTTGCCATTCTATATATGTGCTCCTGATTTAATCACTAATGTGAATGATGCTGTTTTAGGTTTAATCACTGTTTAATGAAAGCTCAGTTACTCTAGTCTAAGATCCCACACAAAATAACAAACACAAACTGTTTAGATGTGTCATATCATCTTCTACAGTGTGTGTGTGTGTGTGTGTGTTCTCACTGACCCTTTGATCTCTGACATGAGCTGCTGTTTATGTGTGTGTGTGTGTTTGTATGTATGTATGTGTGTGTGTGTGTGTGTGTGTGTGTGTGTGTGTGTGTGTGTGTGTGTGTGTGTGTGTGTGTGTGTGTGTGTGTGTGTCTGTGTGTGTGTTGGACTCTTTGTGTGAGTGAGTGGAAAGCGTGAGATCTATAATAGATGTGATGATTGCCTCTCAGACCTGCGGCCTCTTACAGACGGGAAATGAGCTCTGAAGTGCAGCGGTGGAGAGTCCTTCACACAGACACACACACACACACACACACACACACACACACACACACACACACACACATTTATTTATACACTCTCACACAATGCAGCACGATGTCTCAGTGGTGAGCACTGTGGCCTCACAGCAAGAAGGTCTCTGGTTTGAGTCTCGGCTGGGTCAGTTGGTGTTTCTGTGTGGAGTTTGCATGTTCTCCTCGTGTTGGTGTGGGTTTCCTCCGGGTACTCCGGTTTCCCCCACAGTCCAAACACATGCGCTATAGGGGAACTGATCAACTACACTGGCCGTAGTGTATGAGTGTGTGTGTGTGTGTGTGTGTGTGTGTGTGTGTGCGTGTGTGTGTATGTGTGTTTTCCT